ACTCCTTATACTTGTATATACAGAGACTCCATTTCCTCATCTGTCTTGTGGGGCATAATATTGACTTTATAGATAGATTGTTAAAATTAAAGGAGATGATATATGCAAAAGAGCTTAATGCAATCGATGCCTGGCCTGTAAAACATACATTACTTAGTAATAATAATAGTCATTATGGACCAGGCACCAGGTTAAGTGGTTTCTGGGCATTATTTCATGTAATCTTCACAACTATTTGATATAGTTAATATTAACCCCCCTTCCCCTTTTACCCTACCCTCCCCGCCCTCACCCTTCTCAGAAAGCAGAAATTGAGGTTACAATGACAGTGGTCTGGTGAGTCACACACAACAAATGACGTCAACCTTATATATACTATTCAGTCACACGAACTGATTGAATCACCTGACAATCCAATTTTTAAATTATTAATCTAGATTTTGTGTTTAGATGAGTATTGTATATCACACACTTGTAAGAACCAAGATCAATTACCTGAACTTTTTAACTAACAGCTTTTTGAGACATAATTCAGACATAAATTCACGCGTGAACAACTTTCACTTTTTCCCCTTGGCCTATTTGTTTCCTTTTTAAAAGGTCCACACTTTTAAAGACAAGGCTTTTAAAGTCAACGATTTTTAGGTTAGATTTTAATACTTATCTTTAATCGCTTTTCTTCCAGAGAGAAAAAAAAAAGTTTTCCTGGTGATTCTCATTGACAAAAATAAAATTAGCTGTTTTTTTTTTTTTTTTTTTGCTACACATAAACAGCACATTCAGCCAATTTCCAAAGAAATGAGTCAAGTCACCAAACCGCAACTTCACATCACACTATCTCGGAATTCAGCGGCGCAAACAATAGCGAACTATTTATTACTTGTTTAAAACCCGGGCTAAGCGGAAAAGTAGGTGGCTTGAGACCGGGACTAAGTTTCTTTCAACCAGCAAATCTGACGACTGAGCCAGACGCGGAGTGGGGACGGGCTTCCCCACGGCGGCCCCGCTCCCGTGTGTGCGCGCGACGGTCCCCGGCTCTGCGTCCCCGCGGGGACAGGCCAGGGTGGGGGGCTCCAGGGG